AGCGCTGATTTTTTTGGCGATCGTTTAATGAGTGTGGAACCCAATTTTCGAGTTTTTTCACTTTTCCAATCGCCTTGAGGTGGTCAGCGACGGTCGTTTTACTGACTTTGAGTTGCTCTGCAAGTTCTCGAACAGTTGTTTTGGGGTTTTCTTCCACCACTGATCGCAGAACATCATCATTAAAAGAGGAAGGCCTTCCACGACCTTCTTCATCTTCAAGGCTGAAATCTCCCTCCCGAAATTTTTTAAACCACCTTTGCACAGTGCACTCATTAACACAACCCTCGCCCCAGACTTGGTTAATGTTTCTAGCCGTTTGGGCTCCGCTTCGGCCGAGTTTAAACTCGTAAAAGAAAATCGTACGAAATTCTCGCTTTGACATTATAAGGATGACTGAATTATTTCCAAGTAGCGGAATGCTACAGAGGTAAACAAACAATATCATTTGGAAGAGGATTAATAAGTGTTGACATTCATACAAATGAGTAATCCTGTAAACGTAAACAGAATATTTTATATAGATTTTTTTTAATGAAAACTTAAAATCCTGCATTATTTTCCGGACAACCCAATATAAATTACAATAATTATACAAGCTAATTTATAAGCGAGTCAACTTTGTTGAATATATCGCTGTGATTATTTGGACAATGTGTGGGACAACGCCCTAGTGTTTCATGTTAATTAATGTTATTATTGATTACAGTTTTGTCAATTTTAATATTATATATATATTATATTTTTTTAAATAAACTGGAACAATTCACTAGTTTGATGGTCCGCTTGACCAATTAATATCTTACAATTAATTAAGGTTTTCAGTTGAAATAAAAAAGTCAATGGCACGAGCGAGATTCGAACCCACGATCTTCGGCTTGATACGCCGCTGCTCTAACCACTTGAGCTATCGTGACTTCGATCCACTCGGACACCAACTTCCCATCTCAACCACACCTTTTGAATTTTCCCTCCTTTTTGACCCGATTGATCAAATAACTTCTATCAATTAATAAATCTTTATGTAAGGCATTGGTTGAGATAAAAAGTCAGTGTCACGAGCGGTATTAGAACCCACGACCCTCGGCTATACATGCAGCTGCTCTAGAGCTATTGTGACTTCGATCCACTCGGTCACTAACTTCGTGGGTTCGAATCCCACTCGTGCCACTGACTTTTTTATCTCAACTGAAAACCGTAATTAATTGTAAGATATTAACTGGAACGTTCATATTCAGAAATGCCGATTTTTTTCACAGGTTAATTTAGTTGTTTGATGTTTAAACTTATTTGTTAATATATTTTGTATATTTATAGAAGGTTTTTTGGCATATTATTTTCTATTAACCTTATGCCAAAACCCTTTCTATAAACCCTTGTTCAATTCTCAACGGTAAAGAAGTAATTTCAGGTTTTGGGTTTTTTATTTTTCGACTCAGGTACACTAAATCATCTCAATTAATTACTAAACGTTGAAAAACTGAACATTACGGAACCTCGCAACCTCACATTTTATTAAATTCAGAATGTTAATAAATCCAATTGACAAAACAACAGCACTACGTATCACATTTAATTTAAACTGATCGAGTTCGGTAAAACAATGTTCAATAATATTTTACAAAATTTATAATTACTTATGTAGTACCTGCAAAACAAAATCGGTTTTTGTAGTCTTTACCTTTGTACACTAAATAAACGTTCACTCGGAGCACTTTTCTCAATTCTGATGGTATGGCCTAGTGGAACGGTCGTCGGTCACGCCACTCACATGCCGGTAGTTCGTTCTCCTACCTACACCACAGCTGCCTATAGTAAATATATAACGGTGAAGTTTCTATCTTTTTATCTTGACATCAGCAAACCAATTCTGTAGTTTTTGCGACTGTCAGTAGTTTTCCAATTATAGCCGATTCAGTAATTTTTGCAAACTATGGAGTGTTAGCGTAGTTTTTGCGTCTATTGGCGGTTAGCCCCATCAAATCGGAATTTGAAAGACGCGGGAAGAGACCTAGAGCCTAAGGACAGCTGACAGCTGTGAAAATGGACGTCACAAATTCTTCAAATTTCTCTTTTTTTTGTAAATCCTGACGCCAATTATTTATATGCCCATTTTACATTCTCTAAACCCGCCCCGTATTAATATAAACAAAGGAATTTTTTTCATCTCTCACGTGTATATATNTATATACATCTTTTTAAACTGAAAATGTGTGTTGAACTGATGTTTAATTGGTAAAAAGCATTTTGATGTTATTAATCAATTTTCTTTTGAAATTGCCCAGTCGAAATAAAAATAGAAATTTCATTACAGAAATTCGCGCAAGTAATAATCATTCAGTTCATTATTTGTAATTCAATGTGTAGTTGTGCTTCAGAATATTTCCCTTTGACGTTTGCTTAGAAACAAACAATTAAACCTTTTTTTCAAAAATACTTCACATTTCATTTTCTTTATGAATAGTTGGAGGGAGTTAAAGTTAAAAAGGTTTTCTTTCGTCGTATCTCGTTGTCAGAAAACGGGAAAAGAGATAATCTAATTAATCCGATGAAGAAATGTAGTGAGGTGGAGGTTAAACAAGGAATAAGAATGTTGGCTCAACATTATTTAACGTAAATGAGGTAAAGCACGGTTATTTTTTGTTTGCATTTAAGCAAATATTTAATATTATACAAAGAATAAGACTCTTCCGGATTTGTTTGACTTACGGATACACTTTTAGCGAGAGAGGGTAAAACAACTCCCATATACTACTTTGTGTAAACTCATGATTAATTCAAAGATTAGGAACTTTTCCTCCAGGTGAAGTACTTTCGTTCGATCGCGCCCTGATGAGGCCCTTGGCCCTTTTGTGCTTGAATACCGGTGACAGATTATGTCTAGGTGACACATCATAACGCTGCATTATGTAGTAGAACCTTTCTGCCGGCATCGGCCTGTAAGGCTACTTTGAGGGATCTCATGACTACCGTATGAAAGCTGAGTGAAAAATAAACGTCTTATAAACCCTTCTGGGAGCGGCCAACACAGAAAAGATGACCACTTTTTAAGGATTAATGTCTAAACAGCACAGTATATACTGGCGTTTTTTGTAACACTTCCTTCGTATGATGGTGATTTTTTTTATAAAATAGCTCAAACACATATTAATTGCAAATCTTTTAGCATTTCTTTGCTACAGTTAATATATGCGTGGATAAGCCTGTACAAAGATGTTTTAAAAAGTGAAATTTAATGAGTAATTGGGATGAATTTCAAACTACAATATTAAGATAGACCGCAAAACATAAGTTTTTTCACAGGCTTTAACTAATTCGCCTAAGGTAATTAAAACAAAGATGCCATTATCAAAATATTTAGCGATCGTTAGAAAAAAATTAATCAGAAAACAATCTGTACGTAAGTTTAACCATAAATTTAAGTTATATGTTGCAGGCACAAGGTTGAGAACAGCTGAGAAATGTGATCATGTTATATAACTCGCTACCAGATACAACAATTTTCAGTTAAATTCATAATTTTTTCAACCAATAAATTAAAAAAAAAAATTCATCAAAAAATAAAAAATATTTGAAAACATGATAATTTAATTTTAATTTCAGTTAATGGAGTGGCAACCATTGGCAGCTTCAAAAGGACATCCATTACGGCGGTGTCAGAAATGGAATTGACACTGCAGCTTATTATTTCACTTAAGTTGTGAATTCCTTTGGCTTCACTAACAAGGTCTTCGAAGCTGTCTTACTTTTGGAGAACACATACTCCACAGAGTTTAGGGTTGGCGATTAGGGCGGCGGGAAAGTAATCAATCCTACCAGAAAATGATTCCACAAGCTCTCTAACTCCAGCAGTTTTATGGCACCTCCATAACTAGAAATGCATTACATAATGAAAGCCCATCAAGTTTTGAACACTTTTTTAAAAAATATTCAAAAATTAACAGTTCGCTCTTTTGCGATTTTTTAAGCGAGCTGTTAATTTTTAAATAATTTTTTTAATTTTTTAAATAATTTTTTAGGTTTTCACAACTTCTAGCTCGTATTTACTCCTCCCCGACCATTAAATCCGGAAAGGGACGATTATTAAATTATATGAGAACATTATTAAATTGAATGAAACGATTATTGAATTGGTCGAAACGATTATTAAATTGAATTAAACGATTTTCACATTGGTTGAAACGATTAATAAATTGAATGAAACGATTACCAAATTGAATTAAACAATTATTAAATTGGTTTAAACGATTATTAAATTGAATTAAAATGTTATTAAATTGGTTTAAATGATTATTAAATTGAACTAAAAGATTATTAAATTGAATTAAAAGATTATTATATTGATTGGGTCGATTTTTAAATTGGTTGAAACAATTATTAAATGGAATGAAACTATTGTTAAAGTGGTTGAAACAATTACTAAATTGAATTGAACGATTACCAAATTGAATTAAACGATTATTACATTGGTTTAAAAGATTATTAATTGAATTAAAAGATTATTAAATTGATTGGGACTACTTTTAAATTGGTTGAAACAATTAATAAATGAAAATATTATTAAATTGAATGAAACGATTACCAAATTGAATTAAACGATTTTTAAATTGGTTGAAACGATTATTAAATTGGTTGGAACGATTATTAAATCGAATTAAACAAATTAATAAATTGGTTGGGACGATTATTAAATTGAATGAAACAATTATTAAATTGGTTAAAACAATTACTAAATTGAATTAAACAATTAATAAATTGGTTGAAACGATTATTAAATTGAATGAAACGATTATTAAATTGATTGGGACGATTATTAAAATCAGGTGAAACGATTATTAAATTGGATTAAACCATTATTAAATTGGTTGAGACGATTATTAAATTGAATGGGAAAATTATTAAGTCGGTTAAAGAAATATTAATTTAACTGAAAAATGCTATAATGTCAAATCAATAAAAAATATAATTAATTTTAAATCATACAAAAAAACAAAAATCTTTGGCACCGCCTGCATTTTTGCCTATAGATGAATATTGTAAATTGAAGAATAGACAACAGTAATACTTTTGATTTTTTTAGACGTAAATAAATATAATTTTTTGAAATTAAAAAATTATTCTCTAGTGACCTAATTTTTTTAAAATTTGCGAAGGTTTCTCTTTTTACTCAAATTACAGCGCTGTGACAATAACAAAAATTTCTTTTTCACCAATTACAGATTGACAGGAAACGGTGCGAGCGTGAAATGGCTTTTACAGTTAAAAACGGCCTTTTATTTTCCTACGGAAAAATTACAAGAAGAAAAAGTTAAAAGATTCAATGGGCCGATGTTTCAATCGTTCTTACTCATTCCTTTCACCCACCTCACTTTCTCACTCCCCTTTTTCCTATCACCAATTACCCCATCAGCCCTCCCGTTTTCTACTCTCTCTTTCCACAGCCTTCTCCACCCTCTCGCCATTACTTCCAGCCATCTCTTCAACCCCTCACATCGGTGTAGCTTGGTATAGTACTGCAGTTAGCTAAAATTAGAAACAGTATAGTTAAAAGTTTATGTTAATAGATATTTCTGTAGGGTGATTAAATTATTAATGATCAACTATGACATTATTATAGCAATAACAAAAGTTACTAGTCAAAATGTGTACTCGTGTCAATTAATTAATATTTAAATAAGGCTTTAGTTGAGGTAAAGAAATCAGCGACACGAGCAAGATTCGAACTAAAATCTAAACTAAAGATTATTTAATTGAAAAGAATTTATTTGGTCAATCGGACCACGAAACCTAATAGATGTAATGAGCAAAATGAAGAATATATCACTAAAGCTCTCGGTGGCCATTTCATTTGTCGCCGAGAATCAAATAGATTACACGACATTTGAAAAATGGCAAAAAGGAGGGAAAATTCAAAAAGGTGGGGTTGAGATGGGAAGTTGGTGTCCGAGTGGATCGAAGTCACGATAGCTCAAATAGAAGAGTAGCAGCGTATTTAGCCGAAATCGTGGGTTCGAATACCGCTCGTGACGTTGACTTTTTTATCTTAATCAAAACCTTAATTAAAGATTGATTAATTGAAAAGAATTTATTTGGTCAATCGGACAAAGAAACCTAATATTTGTTCTCATGGCTAATATACAATATACTACAATTAATTAAGGTTTTTAGTTGAGGTAAAAAAGTCACTGGCACGAGTGGGATTCGAACCCACGATCTTCGGCTTGATACGCCGCTGCTCTACCACTTGAGCTATCGTGACCTCGATCCACTCGGATACCAACTTCCCATCTCAACCCCACCTTTTTGAATTTTCCCTCCTTTTTGCCATTTTTCAATATTCTTAAGATCTTGACATGGCATTGAAAGTAGTTTTTTTTCCTGTATAAATAATAAAATAATTCATCTGTTTATCATACTAATTCGATATGAAAGGAATGCTTTGAACAGATGAAAAAAAGTGGAATTTCATCATCTTAAATCACTAACAAATGTCATTCATTTATCTCGATTCCAAAAGGGACTGTATGATGAGAAAGTTACTACAGAGTTTTACAAAGATTTTAATCCCAGACAACACCGGGTGTACACCTGTAAAAGACGCGCTCTCCTGAATTAAGTAAAACAGCGGAAAGTTGGGGCGGGTCGTTTGTCAAGCCGGAAACCGACATTTGTTAGAACCAACAGCCATCCATCCTGCTCTAACTAGGGTCCACAGCGTCCATGCCCGTTTCCTTTATCCAGCTCATCGTATACCCGATCTTAGCCAATTATGTAAAGGGCGGAACAACTACTCTACAACGTCCATCAGAGGATTAAAAGTTAGCCAGACGATTTATCCCTTTCGCTTTGGGGCGAAAAGCATCCCGCATAACGCCCCGTCGGATACACAGACCGGATAACATAAATATAACAAACATGAAATGCGAATTTGTAGTTTGTTTATATCTGTGTAATTTGAATAGAATCTTGGTAACATTATTTGCTCGATAATAATATCCTCTTTTTAAATCCGTAGTCATTTGACAAAAAAAACAAAAAAAAAACATGACCAATAATCAATAAGATAAAAGACAACAAGTACCATTAATTACTTCAAGAATAAAATGTGTAAGATTTTGTTTTATAATTTGTTTAAACACGTTTCGACATTTGAAAATATGTTAATACAAAATCAAACGGTTTCCTATAAACTATATCTTATGATTGCATTGTTAATAAACAAAACAAACAAAAGACGTAATTTCACAATACTTTTTCATTGAAAATTAAGTCAGATTATAAAGACTGTGAAAAAAGTTGACCATTTCATTCATTCTTCATTTATTGAAAAGAATGTATTAAATTCGGACTGAAATATTTCTCCCTCTCTCTTTCTCTCTCTCCGATTCTCTCTCACTCACTCGTTCCTGTCTCTCAGCTTTATTTATCTCTTTCTTTTTTTCTCTCTCTCTCTCTTTCTTTCTTTCTTTCGTTCTTCATAGAAATTAAACGTTAAATTACCACTTTTAAATCTTAAGTTATTAGAAACCGTCCTTGTAACAACAGAACTAAAATATTAAGTCGCAAATTAACAATAATTTGCAATTGAAGATTTCTCTCTCCCTCTCACGCTCTATCTATCGCTCTCTCAATATCTCTCTGAATCTTGGACCCTCTCCCTTTTTCTATTTGTACGCATATCTTTCTCTTCCTTTTCCCACTATTTCTCTGGTTCTCTTTATTCTGTCAATCGATATTTCTATTTCTATGTCTCTTTTTCGGTATCTAACGCCTTCTCTTTTTTTCTCCTTTCTCTTGTTGTCTTTCTTCTCTTTCTCTGTCTCGTTTTCACTCTCTCTCTCTCTCTCTCTCTCTCTCTCTCTCTCTCTCTCTCTCTCTCTCTCTCTCTCTCTCTCTCTCTGTGTTTCTTTATTTTTACTCCTTTGTCTCTATCTCGCTCCCTTCCTTTTTACCACCATTTAGCTTGAACTCTTTCTTCTCTCTCTCTCTCCTCTATTTCTCTTTCTTTGTCCCTTTTTTCTGTATCTAGCTCTCACATTTTCCCACTATTTCTCTTGTCTTCTTTCTTTTTTCTCTCTCTCCCTGTCTCTCTGTCTCTCTCTATATCTCCCTGTTTCTCTCACACTTCCTACATTTTTCTTGTCTTCTTTTTTTTATGTAAACAAATATTTGTTCTTAGGTTTTTAAAACAATACGGTGTTATATATAAGATGTTACTAGAATGGAAGGTTTCATACAAAAATACAATATATTAAAAACAATGATACAATATAATGTATAACTTCTCATATATGGAAATATAGAATATATATAGAGTATACGTGTGTGCGTGTTATATACATCGTGTTATACAAACGAGAAGAAAAAAGTGAAGAAAATTTAAAAAATAATAAAATAAGAGTGAGAATTTTTCAGAAATGAAAAATGTTTTCAAGTAAAAATGTTGTTTTAGTTACATAATTTGAAAATATTAAGGGGTTTGTTTTAATTAGTTAAAGGTATGATTAGACAAATTCGGAACAATAATATTTATCCAACTTTGAAATGTCTTCTTTGCGAATCAGTGAATAAGTCTTGAAATTTCAATAAGACTCGATGGAAATTAATCGCAAATTTTGCCAACCATGCAATTAATATTTCATGGTGCATGTTTTCCTAGCATTTGATTTTCTAAGAAAATTATCCCCTTGGTATCTGATTTTTTTATTACATACCTTTACCCCTGGAATCTGCCTCTGTTTTTAAACTTTCTCACCACGTACAATGAAACCGACCTCAATGGAAGTAAATTATTCCACCAAATTGTGGCCATAAAACATTAAAGGGTGCACTTTCGTTAGAGGGAACAATTGCTCAATTTATTGAAACATTCTCTTTGTTGTACAGTCGCGCGGTGGTACGTTTAAAATTTCGACAATATCATTGTTCATCACGTTATGAATACTATCAATATATAATAGGTGTAAAGCAAACAAATCCAGTTATTTGTACTAATTAACTGCACATAATAAACTAGGTCACATTTGACATCAATAATAATATTCATAGCTCAACGAGGGGTATGAAAAAATTGACAAATCGTTACGAAATTTTAAATTTCATTTAAATACCCTAAATAATTTTTATCGATTGTGAATCTACTGTAACTAATGTTTGAAATCATTCTTTGGCTTTTCCTTTGTACAACATTTACACATTGTATATACAAACATTTTCCTTGTAATTTAATAGTTACAATACGTGTGGATAGAAAACCATTGTACGTTTTTATCTTACAAAGAGTGAAATTGTAGATCTACCCGAAAAATATGTCGTGCCCAAACGGATGTTTATTTCGATACAGTAATATAAATATTACCTTAAGGTAAAATATGTTTCTGAGTCCTGGAAACTCGCCATCATTCGTATGATACCGGCGACCAAAACCAACGTATACGCCGGCGAAACCCATGTCCTAACATTGATTAAGCATAAAAAAATTGTACTGATGTAATGATGAAAATAAAGAAATTTCCATTGTGAGCGAAATATAAACGAGGCTGAAAAGACGTAAAACGAGTAGATGACCAGGCCAAAGAGAATATTTAACAAGTAGAAAAATTAACGTTTAACGTTTGCCGTTCATTGCTGGTTTAAATGTTTTGTTTGTATTTATGAACTTCATGAAGAAAACGAGTGATCTGAATTTGAATTATACACTGACAGGCAAAAAATTCCACCCACTTGATCTTGTTTTCATTTTCTCGATAAAAGAATATTCTGTACCTAATTTGTCTCATTGTTTTTATCAATAAATATTTGTTTATGCTATGTTTTAAATTGGGAATATCAAATATAGGTGAACCCACCTTATCCTTAATCCAAAACAAGGATAAAGAATTTTTCAATGTTTACTTTTTACGGAATTTAAAATGTTTATTCTGTCTCATTTGAATTCTGAAGCAATAAACTGTTTAGTTTTCATCTTTGTATTCTTAATTTCAATTTTTAGATTTAAAAATGCCACTTAGTGTTGAGGATGTTGCGCGTGGTGTGGCACTTAGTGATGATGGAACGTTCCATCAAGTATGCGGCTTCGCTACGAAACTGCGAGACGCCTTTAGACGTTTTCGAGAAACTAGGCCCGGTTCTGGACGCCCTAAGGTAACAGAACCACTGGGTGACCGTTTTTTTGACTTTGAGAATTTTGCGAAACCGGCACCTTACTGTTCAGCTCCAGAAAGTTCAAGCAAAAAAATTGTCCAAATTTCTGAACCAGAATTGACCAGAACACACAGAGTTGCACGGCACCTATTTGCTCGAGAATACAGCACATTGGTCTTTTGACGATTGGTCTGCTGTACTTTATACAGATGAGTTAGATTTGCTCTACAATCATCATATGGGCGTGAAAGAGCGTGGAGAAGACGAAATGAAAGGAATGATGCCTGTAATTTTTCCCAGAGCCAACCTTTTCGGCGTAGCTCAATGATGGTGTGGGCGGGAATCTCAATGGAGAGTCGCATAGAGTTGGTTGTTGTTCG